TCTCACCACTAGGTCTCTGAATGCCATAATGATGGCATTGATGCAGCATTAAATTATGCTGAATAAGACATGTGATAGTTAATATGGGGGTGGCGTTCGTACGACACCCGAAAGAGAAGAAAAAGCGGTCTCATAACGCAGCAAGAGTAGTACAAGGTGACCCGTGTTTCCGAATCTACAACAGAAAGTCGTAAAAATTTAGAATTTGCCGCAAAGCAGCGTTGACCGCTCAAATCGCGTGATTTACACTAGCTTAGAATTCAGATAAGTTTCAAGTCTTGAAGACTCGCACGGTTTGTCGAAACGTTTCTTTCACCATCCTGAATTCATATAACGGGTTCCACCATAAATTCTGTACGGGCCCAACAGGAGAGATAAGAAACTCCAACATCGGGTATATGCCCAGGTTCCAGGAAGAGATCTCTTCTGCCGACACTCGGTAATTTACTCAACATATTTCAATTCCCTGTGGTATTCGAGAGCAATCGCGCTGAATTTGTTTGTAGTGTTGAAAGTTTAAAAATTCTTTTGAAACGCCCATCCATATGAAAGATTGCCATTTGTTTAATTGCTATTCGGATTTCAGAGAATATATTGCCCACCTTCGTTGTCTACACTTGATTTGTAAAAAAGAAATTCGGCACAAATGGTTCCTCGTCTTCTTGGCTGTTAGGTCAAATACAAAAGGTGTTCAAATCCGAACTAGTTACTGCTACATCATTTTCCCTGATGCGCTCCCGCTCTATTAATCATCTCCTTTAATGTCTATCGCAAGGGCGCGCCAGAAGCATGCGGAGATGAACCCGGGTAACAGAATACTTATCATGCACTTTTGTCAATTATTTAGGTTGGTTGGTACGTCAATGCGACCCGTGCGACACTACGAATTGTTTGTAGCTCGCCCGCTTTGCAACTCTGTCTCGCCTATGTTTAGGGTCGCGTAGGAATCAACTACAAGTGCGTTTTCAAAAGTATGTAAATCCACCTCTGAAGTGAAGCTGTTCCAAGTTAGAATGAAGGTTCGTGATTCGATGAATAGTTTATCTAATTCAGCACGCTCTGAAATATAGTAAACTTTGTTGTTACAAACCACTATAGCTAGAATGGATGCAATAAGGAGAGATTTTGAAAAACTCCCTAGTTTTCAAAAGATTTAAGCCACACGGGCGAGTAGGCAACAGCGGTAAATTTTGTTCCTAGTTAACTATTGGAGTTCTTTGGCCCATAATTTAGACAAACACATTACCGTGCTCCATTTGTCTGCGTGGATCTACGTTTTCTTTTGGAAGAGCAAGTGTGGCGTGCAGAGGACGTTACATCGAGGGCTGCCCATTCAAATCGCTTTCCATTGCTGTCACTTGGAGTTCTCAGAGCTATTATCGACATTTTTCTAGGATCCGCTTATCATGAAGGAAAGCATCGCTGAAAGGTCACGTGTTTTGTGGGTATTATATCGTCATATTAAGCTCGTCCCTTTCCAATTCTATTCGCGACATCAGTGAGATCCGATACGAGCTCTCCTTTTTTGCTTTTCGAAAAGTTCCATCTAAGAGGGTCGCGTAACTCTGCTGCCAAAATTATCGGTGCAGGCAATCCATGAGGTGAAGACTCCACGTCCGGACAGCGATCCAAAGCACTCGTCTCGCAAACTCGCGAGTAGGACTCTAGCGCAAGGTTTGGGGTTCGGTAGGTGATTTACGGGGGTAGGGAAATGGCACTTTCGACATATGACGTAGATCCTTTTAGTTAATTGCTTATTTAGTGTTAGAGTTCATTGGCTGTGGTTGAAAGAGACTTCATTTAGACGGGCGGTATGGCTAATCACAGTTCTCGGAGAGTTTATTAAAAGATCCGCCGGTTTTAGCCAGTTGACGAGACTTTCGGTTACTGATGACGCAATAGATAGCGGCTCTTGAGCTAACGGCAGATTCTACAGCGATGCTGTTGCTCCCTCTGTCTTTTGTCTCATATTATTGTAAAGAGGTGATCTTAAGATCGAGTGTAATACTTTTGAAATGCACTTGGTGTGTCAGATGGAACCCCGGTGAGAATCAGGATGCTTTCTTAATGATCTTACTCTCGTTATGCTGTAGTCGCGCACGCGTTCGCGCAAACTTCATCTCTGATGCCTCACGATTCTCGCCACCATCCATCGCAGTCGGTCGACTCACACCCGGGGTTTACGTTCAACAATCAGTGTACTGGAATGGCTGCCTAGCCAGCCCTATGATCCAATCAATAAAATACACCCTTGGGATATGCAGTTGATTCGACAGATTTTACGGGTATGGAATCGCTGCGCTACAGATAACGTGGCGAGACCTCCATGCCATCGAGACGTTTTCCTACACTGAATCCGCTTGACTGTGGTTAAGTGTCTAGGATAGTATGCATATGGTTCTAATAATCTTCATCTTTCTAACAAAAGGGAAATCACGCAGTTACTAATATTTACGATGTTCACTTTTTCTTCTGGAAAATAGATATTTGCACTGCTTGTATACTTTTTGAAACAGGGGATATTTGGCAGATCTTTCTTATGAAAAATGTTGTGAATACATTTATGTTGTCCTGATATAAAGAGAAAATGTGTTTCCAAACACGCTGAATTCATAAAGTTTATGGGCAAGCCATGAAATACTCACTTAACTCGGAAAGTTAGTTTTCATGGGTGGCTTTATACTTTTGAAACGCACTGTACTTCACTAGTCCACCAGGATAGGTCTAGTGTCTGGTGAATCGCTGAAGGATCCACCGAGGTCAAGAACTTTATCCGCTTCTCTCTATGTACCATGATCTTACAAGGGAGGCCTTTCAGGGCAAGCCGCGCTTTTTGGAAATGGTTTCTTGCATATTGTAGGGACGCATGTATGGGCCACAAAATCGTTTTTTTCGCTGAACGGCTTTAGTAGTACAAAAAAGTGGTTAGTGATGCCCTCGAGGGTTCAGTCCCCCCGCGACGACTAAATTTTGCAATCAAGGTTGGCGGCCACTTGGTGGCTTCATAATGGCCCTCACGATGAGTGTGACACTTGATTGAGACATTTGGCACGATTCGGCATTAATTCGAAGGCGCCAACCCAAATGCAAAATTTAGTCGCCACGGGGGGATCGAACCATTGACAGTAGCTTATGCTATTTTGGTACTGCTAAAACCATTCAGCGAACTAAACATGGTTTTGCGTTCCCTACTTGCATCCCTACAATATGCTAGGAACCGCTTTGAAAAAGCGTGGCTAGCCCTGACAGACCTCCCTTGTTAGAAGGGAAGGTACTAAAATAGAATGGCGTGCTGCACGAAACGCAATGGAATGAATGAGTCTCCCACTATCGGCCGATCCTTTCATATCCAACCGACGTGTGTTTTTATATTCAAGCGTTATGTCTGTATAACAAGAACACTGAGTTGAATAGGAAACTACACATTGCAAGCAGTTCACGCCTCCAGTAGTTTCGCCGGAAATAGGGATCAACACGCTTCGCCACCCTACGAAATGGTCCTGAGCCCGCCTCTCCTTGTTTGAGAACTTGAATATTTTTGTCATATAATGAAACCCTGCAACTAGCTTTGCATTTTGGTTCATTTCTTTCAGCAACTGAACTCGTACGTAATTCACTCGTTTAGACAACGTACATTTGCGATCCGGCCGGGGTTTTGTCCCGGACAGAAGTGGAGATGTTGGATCATACCGTACGCCAGGTGAACATGACATCGTGTTTCTGCTCGACAAAGTGCGGACGAGGCCGAAAAAAGCTCGGTATCGTTATTGTGCCCTCAGCCAGCATCAACAGGTGGATGAAATGGAACTCATTTGTTTCAAGTGCAACAAAGGTCTTTTATAATGAGCCTTCTCTTGCTCTACAGCTGGGATATATTTTTTGAAAATGTAGCGCGTTTGACGAAAGCGGGAGAGAGAGACGAAGAGGTCTCAATGTACATTCATTCAGTTTTCGGGAAAAGGAGAGACTTTAATGAATGAATGCTCGTACATGAAATCTACAGTAAGGGGAGATGATAGCGGAGGCAACAAAATTTAGAAGTTTGTAGAAAACATCACCTGTATCACCTGTCGTCCCGTTGGTCATCGATTTGCTCGAGCTGGCGCCAGCAACGTCTCCATTCGTCCCTGTCGCGTGCTAGGGTGGTCCAGTGGATCCTCCTTGCTCGAGGGACACGGAGTCCATCATTCCTTTCGTTCAGAGCTTTCGTGAAGAAGTCTGACCATCGGGCCGGCGGTCGTCCAGGTGTTCGTTTGACGTCCCGAGGGATCCAGTCGGTAACCGCTCTGGTCCAATGGTCATCGCAAAATCGCATGACGTGTCCGGCCTACCTTATCTTCGATTCCTTGGCGAAAACGGCAGCGTCCCTGATCTTCCTTCGATCGTTGGCGTAGTTCCGAACTCCGGATTCCCCTCTGCACTTGCGTGTATAGGGTTACTCCTAGCCATGTTCGTCCTGCCTGCGCAGAGGAGTCCAAGTCTCTGAGGCGTAGGTTGGGGCACAGCGGAATCGAAGAGGTGGGCACCGGAAGCCGGATTTCTTCGTCTTCTTCACTACTCCCTCGATGTTCTTATACGCTCCCCAAGCCGCTCGTTTCCTCCTGCTCAGCTCTGGAGCTAGATCGTTCATCATATTGATTTCCCGACCTAGGTACACGTAGCTGGAGCATTCGGTGGTGTTCGTTCCGTTCAGCGTGAATGGGGCATCAGGAACCAATCCGTTTCTCATAAACATCGCCTTCGTTAGGTTCAGCTGCATACCAACCTTACCACAGGCGCAGTCGAAATCAGCCAGCATTCGCTCCGCTTGCTCGATGTTCGGCGTTATAAGAACGATGTCGTCAGCAAAACGAAGGTGGTGTAGTTGCCGGCCGTCGACCTTCTCCCATGTCTTCCTATTCCAATTGACTCATGGCGTTCTCGAGAGCGGCGCTGAAGAGTTTGCGAAATGGTGTCACGCTGTCGAACCCCCCTCTTGACGTCGATGATGACCTCCTTGTAGAATGGTGAGATCCTGGTTGAAAAGTTGCTGTAGAGCTCACGAAGAATCTTGATGTACTGATTAGGGACGCCCTGGTTGCCCAAGGCTTCGATGAGCGCTTCTGTCTCCACAGAGTCGAAGGCCAAGGAAGAAAACAAGCCGAGGAAAAATTTGGCGGTGAAAATTGATGTCTACAGTGTTCGGTGGACACCGGCTAGACTTTAAGTGCATCTGAATACATGTATACGCCACAGCCAACCTGACTAGGTCATACCTTTCGCAGTTTTTCTCTTTGAGTTCCCAGCCTTTTTAGAACTTCTTACGTCTAGTACCGATAAGATTTGCATCAATGCGCAAGTTAACGGGGATAGAACAGGTCCTGTTTATTTCTTAAGCAGGGCCGTTTCTAACTGTTTTTACTGCATCCCTACACCACTGATCATCTCTGTCTTCTTTTTAATAGGTCTTTGAGAGCTCCTGCTCACATGTGAGCTGCGTGGATCGTCAAGGTCAGTGTACTGCAGCTCAGAAATGAATTGCGTGAATGCATCTGGATAGAATGTCTTCTAGCAGAAGCAGCAGCCAGCTATAGCTTCAAACTTTTAATGACTTTTTGGGTATTTCTAGTGCAGTTCTCGTTTGTTTACCCTGAATAACGGTTTTGATGTCTTTCCAATTCGTGGTAAAACTGACACACTGATACAGAAAACTCAGCTACTATCACTAACGAGCAAAATTCCAGCATAATCTCGTGCGACTCCTCGTTGGACTTCGCTCCACCGACTTCACTTCCTGCAGCGGCTTATTTATTTGCGCAATTACTTCACCGACACTGGTCAACTCACTGTACAGCTGACTTGATGATTGTCTACATTCGTTCTTGGAGTCCGGACCGCATCCGCAAGCCATTCATCGTTCCAGTTTATTCGTAAGATCTCCCTAATGTTCGAAAAACCTTTGAAAATTTGAAAATAATTACAATAACTGATTTCCTTCAAATCTACTACGCACATTCCTTCAACCTGCCATTCTGCGCTAGTAGATCAGTATAGACGGTCGAGATGCAGATTGTCACGCTGACGGCTACAATGTACTTCGGAGGCCTTTTTAATGATCGTGAGTGAGACGTTGCGTCTCTGCCGTCCGCCGTCATTTTCCCCTTTCTCTGCCGGGTTTGCTGTTTAGGTTGCGCCACCTCACTGACTAGCCACTTGAGAGCAGGGCGAAAATCGTGTAGAGGACACGGGCACATCAGTACGACCCCCACCCCGGATCTCAGATCGTGATTTTGATACCGCCCCTCTAGCTTTGATGTGATATGAAGAAGCGAGTTCCATCAATGTACAGCAAAGCATTCAGCTGCAGCGCTGTTTATCCGTAAGTCAGATTTGCCGGAACCCCACTCGAAAGCGTCGAAATCTACGCTCTCGATGAAAAGGTTCCAATTCCCTATTTCATAACCTTTAGCGCAGTATGTGGTGGGGTTAGATAGAGCTGGATCGACTACTACCGGGCATATTGAAATTGATCCAAAAGCTTTACACTCGAAGAGATAGGTCTCTCAAATTTTGTTGAGGGGGCGTCGAGGATGCGGAATTTCTCATGCGAGTTTTTGCCACTTAAAAGGCAATGTCTCTCTAATTTCGCAAGAACTTCGGGAAGCGAAGAAAGTTTTGGAAAGCGGAAGGTTTGATTTCTAACTGTATGTTCAGCTTCCTTCTACATTTTTAGTCGAGGAGATGTTTGTGTCGATGATCTGTCGAGGATGGATCTCGGCCACCTAAAAAAGCCGCTCCCTTCTTCACCGTTGCAAGATAATTCGTTGGCAAATGTTGAAATGTGTCTAGAATGAATTCTCCCAACATAAACGACAAAAAAGGGGCAATCGTCACCGTCCGATTTCGTTCTAGTGTAAGCCATGCATCCAACCTCCACTCAAGTTGTAGAATCTATTGCAAGGTGTTATACATATGATGGCGACCTGTTGGCAGAAACTGTATTGTAGTACACATTTCGTGACTTCTGTGATCCGAGGAACAACTTCACTACCCAGGGTCTTTCCAGAACTGTTGCCGTTTTTTGCGACAGCGTTCCGTTAGTGTTATTCTTAACGAGGCAGGGGAGCGGGCGGTTGATAGAGAAAATGCATTCGCAGCGCGAGTGCACATGTGACCCTGTTCCTTGCAAAGATGCACTTTTATTATTTGCAGTAATTACAAATACTTACTTCTCAAAGGAAGAGAGGCGGAACGACTGAACCTGCAAAGCAAATTTTGTATTATGTTTTCTCACGTATCCTTGTTTTCTGCTGCGCTGCACCTTCTCCCTGTTATCTGCACCACGATTTCATCACTCGTTTTCAACTGTTGTCAGAAAAGACCAAAACAAGGTCAACATGACCGTCTGGCAACGTGTAGACCGGCTGGTTTGGCTACTTTACTCAGTATTCAGCACAAACACATAATGCATGCTGCCTTTGTTGGAAGTAGATGTAAGCAGTTTACAGTTGGTAAATTATTTCGATAGTCAGCTATCTCATACTGGTCCTTTTCTTTTTTCCTGCTATAGTTTCGGCCCACTCTGGCGGCGTCTCATGGCTGTTTTCACAAAAACAACATTGGAGGAATCGCTCACGGGAAACCATCACCTCATCTACTAATCACTGCTTGACACCGACACGATAAGAACGAAACGAACAAAAAAATCGCGTTGCGGTCAACATTTCAAAACCCTGAAGGACTGTTACGCGTTCGAAGTCCCGCCGGATCTGTCACAATTACTGGCGGTGGGAGCGACTCCACTTGATTCTCGGAATGTCTTCATTAGAATTTTTTTCTTTTGTACCCATGGATGACATTTCCTTACCCACTGCATCCTATTCTTCCGACCGTTTTGTCTCTATTCTCCAAATTCGAAGCTTTAATCCGATCCTCTCGATGCGTTGCCTGACACGTGGACGCCCCAAGGCGAACTTCCTCCCATGCCCTGCCCTTGCCTTCGACCGTATATGAAGTGTGGTTTGAGTAGGTTTGTTTCACTTCAGAAGCAGTCTTCTTGCGTGAAACTTTGCATGTCTCTAGTTATCACAACTGCCTAATTCATGTTTGGAGAGAAGACAGGAATTTGTCATGAACGATTCCTTTATGTTCGTTGTGGCTCAAATTCGCAATTGCGTTGTCTTGTGCTTGCGTGAACAAGTGGGGAATTTTAGGAATTCCCTAGAACGTCTCCAGCGATATAGTCACCCGACGTCGGTGTCGTCGCGGGAACCGGTGCTCATTGCTCTTCAAGCCGCCATCCGGCACGCCAATCGTTTGATCGAAGCTGAATGGACTGACGTAAGAAGCCCTCATATTGGTGGTACCGGGTATCATGATAAAATCATCTGTGTTCAGATGAATACCTCGATCCCACACTGGGCAATGGGACTTGCCTGCGGAATGGTAGCAGTAGTGATTCTTTCCGTATATACTGCCAATTGCATCACGAATCGTTTAGGCAGGCATCCTCAGGTAGGATCATACATTTGTATAGATTTTTTTGACATCTTATCGATATGTTACCTGGGCTACCCTGAAATTTTATACACTTTCCGGCACTATTTGTCTTTTCTGCTCCGCTACTTGAAAGCTGAGCCGGATTTTGATAGAAATTCTCCCACGGGTAGGGATTTAGCTAGAAAGTCGTCTCCAGGAGTAATTGAACTCGGAACACGATATCACATCAGTCCGACGCGAAAAGGCTTGATGCAATGTTGAGGTCAGATGTCATCTTCTCCATCATCTGCTTTTCCAACTCATATCTCTGACATTATGAGCTGCCGTCGGTCACTGATATTCTGACGTGTTTTTTTTTCGGCTTTAATCACAATGTACACTATCCTTGTTGCTTTCCATTTTCGTCTTCACCTTCGATGTGCTTTGAATTTGGGCCACGACACACGTGTCGATTAGTCTACGAAACGTGCATGCCTTCTATTTCAGAAAACGAGAAGATTGTTGAGCGCAGACCACACGCCACAAAAGACGTCGGCCAAGAAAGAGCGGCTTTTTCTTTCCTTTTTCTTGGCGTCGTATTTTGCAATGTGTAGTCTGCAATCGACGCTGTTCTCGTTTTCCGAAATAAAATGTACATAGTAGCTCTGTGGTGTGCCTCAGAAATTTGAGGCTTCCCATGCCCGGAACTCTCTACCGCAATAACAGACAGCGAATAACGGTTGCTTTTCCCGTTATGATTTTCCCAAATTTTTCCCTTTGTTATTCTCAGCAAAAGGCCAATTTTCTTGTTTACAGAATACACAAAGGAGGGGGCAATAAAAAAATCGTCTCCCTTAAAATCCGAAACGGAGTTGATTACACGTTGCTAAATTTTAAGCGCATGCTCTAGAAGCCGACCAGGAGAGGTCATTAGCTCAACCCATTTAAATGAAAAAATGTGTACGTTTCCAATGCATCTTAAGGCGCTGAGCTCAAATCTGCTTTTATTATCTGCTAAATGCTTCTCCATAATGTACGGATGGTTTCTTCGCAGCCCTTACTTTTCAGTGTCTTGCCAGCAATTACGTGTGGGCTCCGCTATGATAAAATTGTTGGTTTAGTGTTTATTTGAACTATTCGCTTTCTTAGGGGCAGAAGTGGCATAGCGGCAAATAGCACGCTCACCACGCGAGCGGTCTGGGATCAAATCCTGGGTCGTGAGTCGCCCGGGCCAACCAAGCCTTCCATCCCCCGGGGTCGGTTAGTTGGTACCGGACTTGTCTGGAAGGATAAAAAACACTGACTTGTACATCGGCCGGCCCCCGCAAGTCATGGTATGGGCCACATCGCATTCAAATGCGAATGTACAAATGGAAGTAGAATGCGTGCCGCATCCTAAAAAGGGATTGATCAACGGCAAAATGCTTTATCCTTTATCCTTTATTCGCTTTCTTACACTTATACATAGTTGTTCCTGAATCTCGATATTATTGCATATACTCTTTCGAAAGGTTTTTATTCTGAGGTTGGGATTCAAAGAGTAGTTAGTGAGTAGCCTACGTTTCGCACGTGTTTTTAGACGGAGAATAAACAACAAGAGTGTGCTATCTCTGTGCTCATCAGTAAGGAAAGAGAGGAACGAAAAATTTCAGCGATATTGCTACACTAGTTATTGAACAAAACATTACAGTGTACACTAGTGTGAAAAAATTACTTATTTGGATTTGGTTAGCACAAAACAAGGTGTTTGTAAATTAGGTTAGGTTGAGTTGATATAAAATAAAGGCTTTCTCATGAAAAAGAAGGAGTTTATTAACTATTCATTGCGACTGTGGAAACATTGGACTCATCGATTTCTCTGCCTCCAGATAGATATTATTGCACAGTAGATAGAAGTATTAGCTCGGTCAAAAAGTATCTGCCGTACTGCACTTTGAGTTCTTCCCTGCATTTTTTTCTGATTTCTTCCGCAAATATTCAGGCAGTTTTGGTGTCATCTTGTAGAGGGATATCGGCCCTTCCATGTGCATGCAGAGTTCGAGGCAACACCGAAAACCTCCTTTTTTCTAGCGTTTTTTAGACCACGGAAAACGCTGAGGGTTGCTAATTGGCGGCCGGTTAAGTAGAGAAAGCATCTAGAAAACGCACAGCGCGAGATAACCTCGCCTGGTTTGGCCTTGGAGAAATAAAGCTCGAAAGTGACGCACTCAGTGAGAAATGCCCCCAATATGTATACAGGATTGTGCAAAGGAAACGAAAGGAGCTTATCACAGAAGTTCAACTGCAAGTGAAGCAGGAGAGTCTGGAATCCCTAAGAATGTCGTAATTTGCCGCCTGAACACCATGAGGAAGGAGCTGAAACGTCGTCAATCTGTTCAGCGGACCAACTTATGCTTGCAACTCGAATCGCTGCGACGGGAGGTGAGGTACTTGAACTCTACATTGCAACAGGGAGGAGCCACTTCAGAGATGGGTAATAGTGTAGGAAGAAACTATGAATCTGCCCACTGATAATCTAAAGCTTGCTTTGGGTGAGTAAGAGTGAGCTGCCTTGGAGCATCAAAACCCAGTGCGCTTCGAACAGGGATTTTCTCAATGTTTGGTGGCGCAGCTCATTGGCTGTCTAAGTGAGTCAACGACGATGGAGTCTTACCGTGAACAATAGAACATAATGCATAGAGGATTGCAGGGATGAGAGTCTGCGTGGAGGAACAAGTAGTGTTCAATCTGTCACCACTATAGCGTTGGACGGTTCACCGCAAAATGCGCTGTGTAAAATTTTCAAAAATGAGTTCAAGGTCTATTTGCGATATTTCTTATATTTCTTATATCTACGATAAACGACCAGTTTTTTGCTTGGAGAAGTTGTTTTGAGAGCAGGAGTATGTCAAAATTGCCTTCCGATAGCTTTTGCTCTGCAGTAATTTCAATTTTCATGAGAAGGAGGTTAGGGTGGGTATGATTGGCAACAATAGAGTAAATACAACGGCTAATGAGTCATCTTAAAAGGTTGTGTTCAGTAGAGCTGTGATGCAAATTTAGGCATCCCAAAAAGCGCATACTTTTTGAGCGTCCTAATAAAATGAGAGTTCATTCATGCCAATACATGTGTAAATTCTATCATTGTTTATCATTAAAATCATCTTTTCAAGGATCATCGTGTTCGGAGTTTACGGAAAATCCCTATCTGATCCTTTTTTAATTTACACTTGTATTTTATAAAAACACTAGTTTAGCTTCAGCTACCGCGCGCATGGCATCGAAGGCGTAGGTGAAGCTGGACAGTGGAGCGTAGGAGTGGAGCGTTAGGTTCCACCGGAAAAAAGTGGATTTGTGAAACGCTTAGCTGACTGTCCGCTTGATAAGGGCGGTGGAGTGCGGAGCCAAGGTGATGTCTGTAAACAGCCACCATGTAAACAACCAACAACAAGGCACGCTCCGCGATTAGGCGAGCTCGCCTGTCCCCCCCCGGAGGTAGTAGCCAGGCGTACGAGCGTTGATGTCGCGCCCCTTTTGCCGCTTAAAAGTGTGCGAAAAAGGCGCAATGAGCTTGCCCGAACCGCAACTCACACCTTCGTCCACAAGCCCCACCCTCCGCTGCCGGTTGCCACGTGGCGCTACTTGAAGAGCGCTGGCGCATTTGAGGCAGCAGTCCCATTGCGATCCAACGTTGCTGGCACTGGTGCAGCTAAGAGCTGGCAAGAGGCGCTAGAACGCGAATTTCACGAAATTCATAACGCACGTCCCAGCAGCAGTTAGGTACCGGCTCCAACAAGTTGTGTGGAGGGTAGGATGGGAACATAACAGCTGATAAGGGCTGACAAGGAATGCCGAAAGGCACGAGTCATCAAATGAACATCGCGTGTCACAGCAGCAATGAAGTGTGGATTCGTCAAGTGATGTAGAGTGTGGAGACGGGAACATATTTGGTGGTGGACCGAAAATCACAATAATTGATAAAAGCTCATAATAGCTGTAAGTTTAACAATTTTCTTGTGCTTTACGAGGTTGATTGGTGGAACCTTTATTAATGGCCTAACGTTTCGACTGAATCGTCGTTTTCAGAGGCCTGAACGTGTTTCAAGCGTTAGATTTACGCTCTACACCACCAACCGCCTCATCAACTCTAGCGGTTTCGACATCGTGTCAGAAACCCCTCGAGAAGATCAGGACAGCGCAAGAAATAAACTCACCGTCGGTTCAACCTTCGAGCGGAAAAGTCCGCTGCCATACAGAGCGCCGATCAGTTAGAACTGAAGAATACCATACTGTCTCCTTATGTCAAAAATAGTCGGGAGGCGCACGTAACGCTCTGTCATTCTACAGCTCGCAGTGCGGAATGAACGGCAGTAGATCATTTGTTATTAAGGACACTCATCGCGGCTGTTCATTCTTGGATTTCTAGTGAATATCCAGAATGCTTCTAATGCCTTCCGCGCGGAAATTTCCGTCTCTTGAGCCAGCAGCGTGCACCTTATTTCAAATTCATTCCCATTATGCTCCTCAACCTTATGTCTTCCCAAGGGTGTTGTCACAGTACCGCGTCTCAAATTAGCAATATGTTCCTTGATACAAACTGCTAAAACCCTTCCTGTTTCCCCTATGTACGTAGCGTTACATGCCTGACATTTGATCTCATATATTGCTCCAAGATGAGCACAATCTCCAAGTTTTCCATGTGGGCAGATAACGCAATTTTCGTATATGCACTGCTTGTCATAAAGTCTGTTACGAACCAATTGCCGTTTCATGTTTTCGTTGGGAATATTCACCAACTGGACATCTTACTGCAATTGGGCTCCTATTATGCACCGATGGATGGCATTGCTAACTTTATCTGATATGAAAGGGATGCACAGGGGCAGTTTACTTCAACGTGGTACCTCTCGCTGGTCAACATGCTGCCGTATTCTAGGATGTGGTGCCGTATAGCCATTTGCAACAGCTATTCTCGCAGCAAGCTGTCGTGATTCTGCTCGCTCGACATTACCAGTGCACATTCCTGTTGCCGTTTTAAACATGTTGTTAACAACAGC